GTCTTAATTATTGTGTTTTTAAACAGATCCATATTACTAATCTGACATGACCAAGTAAATCACTGCAGAATAATACATCTGTTTCAGTTCTCCAGTGCAGTTTTGAGTCAGTGTGCACACATTATGCAGAGTGGCATCCCAAATATTCATTTTATGTTTTAATTATTGAAATTCATTGTATGGAAACATGTATGATAAGCCATTTGTTATGTAGCATTACTCATTGAGAATTAAATGGCCTGGAAGCTTTATAGAGACTGTTAGTTGTCAGCTAGGTCTACTCACTGTGGGAAGAAAGTCTTCATTCAAAGGCAGATTCCTTCATTGAAGAAATCAGCAGCCACATGAACATCCCTTTCTGGACTTTAGCAGTACTCTCTTAGACAACCATAACACAAAGATGCAACAAAAACAATCTGTCAAATTCTTCTTTGGATTTATCATTTTTTCAGGAAAAGAAACCCAGGCATCTATTTTGTTCATCTGAGTTTCTGTGAAAAGATGGTTGCTTATGACCTGTGTGAGTCTTCAGGTTCTTAGCTCAGTATACAGCCCCAAGCAGCTTTGTGAAAGTTTCACTTCAATGGAGTATTCTAGTCAGAGATCTTATGCTTCTAGTCACAAAAATGTACATGGTGGATATGTGTAATAACATTTTAATTCCATGTTAAAAGAGGTGAAGTTTCAATGTACAGTGACGTTGTCCGGTGTCTGTTGAATGAAAATGGCATGCTTATCTGAAAGAGCAGAGATGTCGTTCATAAAATCGTATTTTCTGTCATGGAAGATAAAAATTGGCAAACGAGCAAGGTCAAAGGCCTACCTCCCCGTTGTTGGTGTCATTTGTGTACACCTTTCAGAACACTGCTTCCTTTTTTAAGTAAGTATTTCTTACTCTTGCTTTAAAAAGAAAGCATCTCACCAAAGGGCTAGCCTAAATCCTCCCCTAACTTTGAAACCATAAGGATTCTGTGGTGCCTCAAAGTCCTTCGAGATTTATGTGGTGACGTGCCACCCGCAACGAAAACACTTTTTTTTCTCTTTTGTTTGTGAATGGGTTAAGCTTTAAAGTTCTTCATTTGGTTTTAAGCTGTGACTCTGATGCAGAAGGCTGATATGACTGTGGTTTGAATAACATCTGATTTTGACCTGTTTCTGTGGGTTGGCGATGGCAGGAGAAACTTGACTCAGCAGTGCTGTAATTAGCCCGCCCCATGTTTTTGAAACAGGATTGTGTTACCTGGATTGCATTAGTGTGGCTTCTATTGTCGCCGCCTTGCATCTGTCCCAGTAGGGTACTTAAAACCGTTTCTTGGCTGGGGGAGTTCAAACAATTTAGGCAAAATAAGTCTGCACTTTATGCTTTTGGTGGCTTTAGAGATACTATTCATGACATCTATCCTTTTCATTCCTTCCAACCCACACCTCCTTTTGGTTAGACAAAGTAGAAAGCCTTGTACAGCTAGTTTGATTTCTTTAAGGTGGGGGCATTTTAAAAAATGTCTGAGACATCCTGGATGTGTTCAAGCCCCAATGTACATTTATTAGCTGGTGTTTGCCACTGTCTGCCATGGAACTATCATTTCAGGCAATAAGACCAGTTGATAGGCGAAGCTTCCAGTTGTCTATTTTTATTTGCATGTGAGTTTTTAAAGTTATTTGCCCCTTCTGTTTGCCAAAGATTTAAAAATAAACAAACTTTCAGTTGCGCCTGTGCCAACATGTGAAAATTCTCTTTCTAATATCGAGGGCTGAAAAATCACAAGAACTTAGGAAAGGAAGGACAAAACAGAAAATATTTTTCAACTGCGTAAAATTGCTGCAAATGGGGAAAATATGATGGCAACGGTGTTTGGATTTCAGTTTCCAATTTCATTCCGTGTTACAGATTGCATAATATCTATTACGTGCTTAGGGTTTGATTTGCTTTCAGATTTATGGATATGAGTCTCCAAGCCTGCTCTACTCAGTAGCAACAGTCAGATCTTATAATATACATACTGTATGCAATATAAGGCCAAGGGAGTGGGCTGTTGTGGCCTTAGAAGTTACCATAGCTGTAACACACAGTCACCTCTTTTTGAAAGCTAATAATTTCTAGCTCCCTTTGCTTGACCTTCGAAATTTGGAAGAACACTGCTATTTTTATCAGTCAAAAGATTTTT